AAGTAAATGAGATGCAATCGCACTTTTCTAGAACAAGGAGAATGAAGATAGTAAAATGTATGTATTGGAAATTATTTAAAACTAGATTAGTCTGTCTGGATATTCATACAAAAATGTCAAAGAGTTTATAGTGTTGCAAACTATTCTTTTTAATGGTAAGGCGGTGAAGCTGCAAATTGATACGGGTCTGACATAACATTAATTTATAGAGAGACTTGTATAAAACTTGGTCGACCTCAATATCAACCTACATATTCTAATGCTAGGAGTGCGACAGGAACTAACATCACTCTTCTTGGAGAAATGAAGCTACCTCCCGCATTCGGTGGCAAGACTATGACCGGCAAATGCTAAGCATCTGGAAACTGTGATGCCAACTTATTGGGTATTGGTTGGATAGATAAATGTGGTTTGTGGGACCTGACGTTGAGCACTGTCTGCAATATGATTAATTAGCTCAGTGAAGAGTTCTCTTTCCGGGGACTTCATTTTCAAAGCTGTACAATCGCAAATATCTATACAGGATGATGATAATACTGATAATAACCTTCTGTTAAGCATAGTGACAGTGAGGTTAAATAAACAAAGATATTAAAATAAAAAATTTTAAAAACAAAGAAAGTTTAATAATCGTTTGATTGTTATTGGCTTAAGTATTCATCAAAAGATAGATAAGGAAATTATTATTGGGAAAGGATGCCTCAGCACGATAAAATAAAATGCTGAAGTAGAGATGAAATGTAATCGGAATGGTCGTGGAAATAAAAACAAACCAGTTGGGGGTAGAAGATTTAAAGGAAGATGGAAGGTGAAGCAGATGGCTGTAAAGAAACAGGAGTATGAAAAAGAGAGAAGAAAAATTTTAGTACATTAAGACCATGGTAGAACCTCTGGTACAACCAAGAGGTTGTACCAGTCTCTTTTGCACACGCAATTCTGGTTTTTCCAGATGTATGGCTATTGCCTCGGCAATGCAGAAATGATGCAGTCTAGTTGTCTTCGGAAGACTTCTACCTACCTTGCAGATGACTTTGAACGCAGAGTCTGTCTTGATTGAGTGACTTGTGTTCACAAGGTGTTCGACTATAGAACTTCTTATTGATCCGTTGCCTCCTCCTTTTAGCCACACCGGATAATGTTCTCGAATTCTTTTGGATAAAGTACGCATCGAACGACCTATATACCTAGCTCCACAAGAGCAGGTAAATTGGTAAATGCACGTTGAGTTGGTCAGATGAGATAATTTATCTTTCAGATTATTGGTGAGCATTGATCGGCTGGAGAATAATATTCTCAAAGTTGCTGTGAAGAATGTTCTTTTTAAGGAATCAGAATTTCTTCTCTTTAAGATATATGTGGCTCTGTCACTTTTGAAGTCGATGTTCATGTATAAAGTTTTGTTTTCTACTGTGATTATTTGTGTTTTTGGCGTTTTTGGCTTCATATTCTTATCAATGAATATCGAAGGATACCCGTTTTTGATAAGTATCTCTTTTAAGAGGCCCAATTCCTCGTCTACGATCTCAGCGCTACAGATTCTTCGTATTCTTGTACGTATATTTTGTACAATCGTTGGTCGAAACAGACAAACAGAGAGATGCAGTGAAGAAAGCGAAGAGAAGTGAGCGAAGCGAAATGACACACAGTGGAGAACGCGTGTGACCCATCCCGATTTAATCAAGCGTTAATCAATATTTATAACCAGATAAAAATAAGCTACAGACGTGCGATTAGTAGGATAAGATGTACACACATATGCTCATCTAAAAACAGCCAAGGTCAAAATGTAACTTAAGAAGAATGGATAAATTGGTTTATCTATAAGCTAGAATGAGCTATGTAGGCTCGACATAGGACCAGCCACTACAATTTCCTATGAGATACTTTGATCAGAATTGAAAATATGTCCCAATATTTGTCTAAAGTTTATTTGACATTCTTTTTCGAAAGCCACGTAGCGTGAGGCTTGGAGACGCGTTTATAGAGATCTAACTTTCTGCAGCCAGTATAATGTACTCCATATTGGTAATTAAACTTGTAAAAACAGATTGATGCTTACCAAGTAAGTAGTATATGGCTTATACATCCACAAATGATAGGACGAAAGGAGAAGTTTAGCAGCATGAAATGCCTCTTGAAAGATTTCGTCAGCATATTTTTAATTAATCATAATTAACTATGATTTTCAGCAACTATTTTGGCGGTAAGACTCACAAACAGGATTGGATTGTGGTCCCTCTCTGTCATTATTTACAAATTTTAACGATCTCCACGAATACTCCACTATAAAATGATGTGATTGATCATTTGCTTCGGTTTGAATTATTACACAAAACATTTGTGTATACATTACAAACTTACAACAAAATTGATATCATGTAAGAACTTTCGCTCAAACTTGGATAAATCGTTTCACGATAGTTGGGCCCCGGTTGTACGGAAGACATTAGGAAGGGAATTATATTTTTTAAAATCTCAGTGACTAAAATTTGAGACAAATACAGCATTTTGTTTAGTATTCTGATTTGAACCCTCTCAAAGAAACAATCAAATTCAATTTTTTTTGAATATACATAAGGTCTATGAAAAGTAACTGTGTACTAAATAGATGGTTTGATCATGTTTAAATAGTGATTTTGAAACTTATCATTTCAATTTTCAGTTTTGATTCCCAATATAAAGCTATCCCCAAAGTCCCATTTAGTCTCTCCCTCTCATACTAGAGTGTGGATTAATAATATTGAATTGCTGTTTTGTGTCAATCGATATGAAGTTAAGTTCATACTAAATTGTTTCCGTATTAGAATAATCTTATTCATTCGTAACATAGCAATTACCATGGGTTCAACCTAACCTCATTACCAATCGTAACCATTTATTGAGATTAAACAGGTGAATATTCGTTTTAATTGATTAAGTAATTTGTAAGTTTTGTCATGTTTTACTAATATTTTCCACGTTTCTGGAAAACGTTTCACGTAACATTTATAACTATGAATTTTTAACAAAATCATGGGTTGTTAACAACTACTTATACATAATAATAATAATAATAATAATAATAAAAATAATAATAATAATAATAATAACCTCAGAACAATGTTTTACCCATAAGAAAAGATGATAATTAAAAACTGAAGGCATATGAAATGAGAAACGAAGAGAGATATTTTTTATCAAACTACCAAGCGTAGACAGTCCATGTGGAACAAATGCAATACATTTTTATTGACAACTAGGTAAATATTGATTTATCACTATTCGGTCATTTGTTTTGTCGATTGAAGTCAATTTACCAAGTATCTTTTACAATGAAGTCAAACAATCGACCTTTACCTGCAAATGGTCTTTTCTTTTTAAATCCAAAAGTTAGGTTAAAGCAGTATCGAAAAATTAGTCCATCAAATGCATTAAAACTTTGTATGCCTAAAATGTATGCACGTCTTAGTTTGTCTTAGATGTCTTATTAAAACAATTTCAATTCGTATTTCGACATGCACGAGGTTATTATGCTTTCGACCCATGACTATCGAGTTTTGATCAGTACTGAAAAGGAGAATATGAACGTAATTTATTTCCAGTGATTATCTTAAATGGAATTCAAATGAAATGGATGTCATTTAGTTTGAGGATAATATTTGGTACAATACTAGTATTTTATGAGACAAACAATGAATAATAATGTGAGTATCAACGCGAAGGTTGGACTTTATAGTTTCAAATAAATTAAATTAATAATGAATGTATTTTTTGTCATATCTCAATGAGTAGAAGGTTTTATTACTGACGTTTCGTGACTTAATGTAAGCCACTTCTTCGGGATAAATAGACAACCTTTGTATTATTTAAACCTGTGTTAATTTTATTTCGATTATTTATTTACTCTGAAAAAGTGGCTTACATTAGGTCAGGAAATGCCAGAAATACAAGTATTTACTCATTGGGATATAACAAAAATGCATTTATTATTTATGAATGATAATCTTTTTTCACAATTTTTAGCGCATTACGAATTTGTTCAATTCACACTGAATTCATCTGGGATTTGTGTTTTGTTTTAATCAACAATCTTTTTTCAAAAAAGTTAAATTTGGTGTTTATATATATATAAGTAGTTATATTACATCTATTTTTATTTATTAATTTTTTTAAAACTAGTTTTATTCATTCTTACTATATGTTAATTTTTTTTAAAAAAGGAAGCATTTTGGGAGAAGAAGCTCTGGAAAACCTGAAACACATAATCGGAATTATAAATAAAATAACTTGTAAAGTAGTGATTACATTTGGAATAAACGAATGACTGAGATAAAGAAACCATGAGATTAAATATTGGTTCCATGAATTGAAATTTTCTCGAAAAGGGGACAATGAAAGATAATGTCACGAATGGTACCACTGAAAGTAATTTGAAAGTGTTGTGTTCAATGAGTTTTATGATTTAGTGTTGTGAACGGGGAAACTACGAGAGCTATTTTCTTGGGACGTTATTTCATTTCATTCAAACCTTGTAAAACACTTATATTTATTTCTGTCTCTATTTTATTCTACATAACATGAGCTTTCATTCTATGTAACATTCACTGCCATACCCCTTTTTGTTCCGAAAATATTGTAATTTAAACATACTATTTTGCATCTTATTTCCTACCCTAATTCCCAGTTTCGGGCACAATTGTATTTTTCCAAATTATCGCAGGTTGTGGTCAGGATATTCACTTATTCATGTACATTTTTGCACTAACCCGAATTCAGAGAATTCAGAATTCAGTGTTCCAACTGTCTTGTCTTCTCTCACTTGTGTGTTTGCCAACCAATCAGGTTATAGAATAGTTCTCTCTCTACCCCATCTCGAACTCATGCGTACTATACTCCAGGTTAGGCCGCTCAGTCTATCGCATCAAGGTCATAATCTAGTCTAGATAGATCGATGTCAAGTCATAACCAAGTACCGACGGGGTAAAAGCGATTAAAGGTAATAAAGACAGGCGACTGGGCCATAACAATTAGTTATGAAGTTTTCAGTGTTTTTCTGGACAATAACATCAGCATATACTTTTGAAACAAGTTACATATCATTAGAAGAATTTAAAGATGATATTGCCTAGGAAGGCAGTGAATACTTCATGAATAAAGCATGCAGTTCAATTGTGCACATCACTGTAAATCTTCCTTCTGAGCTTGAGATTTTTTTCGCCATCACTATGAGTAAATTCGTTACGACAAAACATTAACCAACACTTAATCCGTAACAATTTCCGCTTGAATTTAAGCAATGATAACTGCAAAATAAAGTCCTTAACGGATATAATACTTCTGGAGATGCTTTGTTCAACTGAAATTTTTTAGAGATAATCTATATGTTTTAGGAAAAGAAAGTGAAAGTAAAACAAAGAAACAAAGTTGTAAAACACCCTGACTTATATCAATTTGAAATGGATTATTAATAAGAAATAGTTTAATTAGATAATAAAAATTTAAGCTATTGACAACTGAAGTAAATATTTCCGTACTTCTGTTTTTAATCCATAATGTTACGTCATCTGAGTGATCTGACAAGAAAGTTTATCACATTGTCCCATCAATCCATGTGAATTATGCAAGCGCTTATCAATTATAACTTTAAATCTGTTAAAGCCCATTAAGTAAAGCTGTATTTTTTGCTAAGTGAAAATTTTCCATAGCCATAGGTAAAGTGGTTTCTCGCAGCTGACTGAGAACTAGTTTACATGAAGTTTGGAACTGTGCTTAATATTCTGAAGGTGTAAAGCATCATATTCACTGTGAAACGTGTTGGTTTCGAGTCTAATTTTGTGTGTTTTGACGAGTGCGTATTGTTGAGGAGTCGAAAACAAAATAGAATTGGTGCCTATTGCCCCCTTAATTTTCAACCGTATTTCATCTAATATTCTTTTCGTGATGAGAACTATTTTCAAACTATGATAATTTCTACAAATAAAACCAACCAAAGAAAATTTTATTCTGCTAGATTTATAAAGTAGTTATGCGGTTCTGTCAATAACAGTATTAAATATAGCTAAATATTTCATAAAATATATAATATGTCTATGATAAGTAATTATATATATCACTTGAGGGCCGTTCACGGAATCAGTCAGTGAGTAAACTTTTAACCAGTCCAAATTTAACTACTAATCATATTATCTGAGACCGTCCTTGGTAGCCTTTGAGATCAATATCAAGATGTCAATTTAAACAAAATTCATTTTGCTAAAATAACGAAACCATATACTAATTCGATCATACATATATGCCGTATTCTACGTCATACCATAAAGTCTATCGAAAAAATTCTATTTAACAAAATTTCAAATCCGTCATATGTCTGTAAGAGAAGTAGTTGGAGGCAGCAGGGAAATTCCTGAATCTAGTTTTCGTGTTGGTTAAGAATTGTGGTGGTCGGTATTCGATATATTCCTTAAACTTCGTATACAATTCGTCTTGATAACCGTCCTAGATAACCCCAACGGTATATTAATCAGAAGGCGAATACGAAGCGTTGATTACGTTTATTGCGAGACCACACATAGATGTCCAAAATTACAAATGCATTAAACGAGCATTAAGAGTTGTGCCGAAAGGCAGACAGGCAAGCGAGCAAGCGAATGAGCGAATATCAGTAATCGAGTACAATCAATCGAGCGAGAAAGCAGAGCAAGCGATCAATATGAATAACATGGACATATATATACACAGTGAAATGAATGAGTCATCGAATCAAATAAGCGGTTAGTAGTAAGACTAGCAGAGTGAATAAATGCGTGGGCCGTAAGCAATATTCAAGCGTACATGTTCATACATTCGCAATAGCAATAAAGATACAATGATTTAGGTAAGTAGTTGTACGGATGACTCAGTTCGTTAATAAGTTAATAAAATGACTTAATTGAATTAATTGTCAACAAACTCAGTTTCACGTGATCTGCTATAGAATCATCGGCAAGAAATACCTTCAATATTTAGAGAACTCATATTCTCAGTGGAATTACTAATCATGTCACGCAGTTTCAAAACTTTTGTACTTACTACACACATATCCATGTTGTGACTAGCTCGAGTCGGAATCACACTGGAGGAATCACTTTCCTCAAGATCGAAAGTACAGCTTGCTTATGAGCGCCAACTATCACGAAAACGGAGATTTAGAGTTTCTTGTCGATTATCATCAACCCCCTTACATCAAAATACAGTGTAAACAGTGTTAAGTCTCTGTTATAGTTCACATTCGCTTTTGACCACGAACTACATCAGTGTATACTTCTTGCAATTTCTCAACATCGACTATCCTAAATCGCAAAGAAAGTTGTTTAGATAATAGATATGAATGAACTGATTACATTAAAACCTACTAATTCTTTACGATTGGCAAATCGGACACTTTCTAACCACCAAGTTACAAATGGGTTTTTACATAGAGCACAAAATCCAGCTGTTTGCCATTGTTTTGATCCGATAATACTTTCTAACCAAGGATTGCTAACACCAATACTAAAAATATGAATAATACATTTTAGATAAAGTTAAATATTACTCAATAAATCCTAAACGGGATAATTTTCGTAAGACAATTTCCTATATGAAAAAATTTTTGCATCAAAATAAAGTGAATATCAAACAGTCTACTTTCAATGTTAAAACATTTTCTTTATACGTTGAAGTAAATAAATCGTTTCGTGTGAATGGATTAGCTTCAGCGTAGAATTCTTTTAATTTCAACTGTGTAAACTGGAATTATAGAAAAACAAAACATAATTTATTCAGACTGAACTTTGATTGAACATTATTCGGGTTTGAAGTTAGCATTTATTATCATCAACTGACGTCATCTGGAGAATGATTAAGAACAAGTATATATGTGACAATTACTTCGTTGTCGGACTACTTAGAATTGTAGATTAATAACTCTACATAAAATCAAATCTAGGACATTCCGGTTATGGAGAGCACAGTGCTTTCAAACCAGTGCAACGATTCATATTACCAACTTTTATCATTCCTCACTGAATGATGTTAAAGTAACATTTTAGATTGACAGAAGTTGAAAATTACTACCGTTTACTTCGACTTAGTCGTGAGAATAAATAGTGATTGTTCTGGATTTGATCTTATGATGCGTCATGGATTTAGACTTCGTAGAAGTTCAGTACTAAGATGAAACAGATATACTAATCTCGCTAACTGTTTGTAATTCTACAGCAGTTGTTGAATAGTAATAAAAGCGAATTTCATCATAAAATGTAGTCTCATAAAATAACCCCCATTTTATAAAGTGACTTACGTTGGATGGTAAAAGTTGTAAGTTATTACCAGCTAAGTCTAAAACTGTTAGTGATTTCAGTTGCCCGAATGTCTAAAATCCAAATTCTCTAAATAAATATCACACTACTTACCTCAGGTAATCGTGTTAAAAAGTTCTTATGTAAAAGCAGTGTTTTCATGTTTTGTAGTAGACCAAAATTAAATGGCAATGTCAAAATATGATTATAACCTAGATTTAAATATTCTAATTTGTTGAGCATTGAACACATTGACTCTGGTAGTGTCGTCAATTTATTATGTGAACTCGACAAGTATTTCAAATGGGCTAAACTAAACAAAGTAAATTAATGATATTTTTTTATACTTGGATATTGAGTCATTTAGTGCATTAATGTAATTATGATTGAAATTTATGTATTCAAGATTAACCAACCGTTCTATAGAAAATTTAAGTTATTTAGTAGATATCAACTACCGAAAAGTGTACTTGGAATAGATTGAAGTTGATTGCTATACATACTGATTGATTTGAGTGACGTCAATTCAAATACAGAATTAGGTATTGTTGTAAACCAGTTGTGACCTAAATTAATCGATTGTAGCTGATAAATAAATTAATAGAGAATATTAAACAATGAAAGGGACAAACTCACATGTTTTGGTAGAATTGGCAGATCAGATAAACTATTTGAACGTAGATCTAATATTACAAGCCAGTTAAGAAATTCAATGTTGTATGGTAAATGATAAAGTTTTTTATTACTTAAACTCAAACGTTTTTGTTGAGTTGTGATTGCGCGTAAAACAATTAAATCAACATTTTTCATGTCTATTTGAATAAACAAAACCATACCATCATTTAACGTACATTGAAACAGTATTTACAAAATCGTGAATTCACATGCTAGCTATTTGAGACAGTTTCAAATGTTATACAATAATGATTATTTAATTAGTTTTAGCCATCATTTTCTCCGCATTTGAAATTGTCACAAATAAGAGATGTTATGAGACCAACTTAGTTGGTAAAAGTTTAAACTTTATAGTAATTTCCGAATTGAGCGTTTCATCTGATACTCGAAACGCTTGATAATGAAAGGTGATGTGGTATTTGTATGAACTAATAATTCCTTTGTACTTGATGACTGCTTGATTACGAATCCCAAATGCAATACGTTCGTTCGTGAACAAGGAAGATGTTGACGATGTTAATATTGATCGGAAAAGAAGCATATATCTTAATAAAAACTTTGGCATTTCCAGACAAGCCGATTTTGCTCCCTTATACAACTCTCAAGCAACTACTACTAGACCGTGTAAAGTATACAAATTTCGAATGCAGTAAAAGAGAAAAATTTCATAAAACGATTCATCAAGACGTCAGGAATCTCACTACTTTAATACTCTGTCCCAGTCCAAAGCGTAATCAGTGTTATTCATATAATGATTCATTGAGAAGTTGTGAATCAGGTCACGAAGATGAGCGCAAGTTTGGTAAATGCGTGTTCTGTGACAAGTTTCACCCATGTGATTCATGTGTGTTTTGTAATTCTAAATGCTTTAAATGTGATGAGATTGGGCACATTCAGTCCGCTTGTGATAATACGGTTCACTTGACTGCAACTAATGCTAAAATTTGTAATTGCTATCCCATTAATTTGAGTGTTTCTAATGATCATTCATCTTTATCCATACTTCGAAAAGCGGTATAGAGTCACATGGCAGTCCAGAGTCAGATGAAACTCAGAATCATTGTGTTTCTAATCAACCAACTTATCAGATTTATCATGTTATTGTACCGGATATGGTTTTTCCCTAATGATTCACATATTTCTGACTAAATTTCTTACAAATCTGAGGAAAATATGTTGAATGAATCATATCATGATCGAAAACCTGATGCAGATTTGATAGATGCTGATTTTTGCAATGATCGATAATTGTTTAATGAAATTCTTAATAAATTTGAGGAAAATATTTCACAAAAATCAAATTCATATCAAATGTCATTTGTTCTCACAATGGATTTATCTCTAATGATTAGTCAGAGAACCAGTTTCCTCAAATATGTAATAATGTAATAATTGAAGTGTGAGATATTTGAAGATAATTCAAATTAGGAACGTCAAATTGTTCATAACATTGTGACGTAAGAATCCAACACTATTTCGTGGAGGAGGATAGTGTTGGAAAGTCTATCATGCAAATTCTGGATATCTGTGGTTTCACTACACAACCGACATGGTGATTGTATACAATTCCAAGACACAGACGAGTCCGTTTCAATTTCAGTTATTAACTCTAATACTAATGAGTACATTCTAGATAGTGTAGAGTCTATATCCAATACACTGCTGAACAGACATTGGATGAAGTTAAGGAGAAGACGTACAATCGTTACAGAAACTTAGATTCCAATTTAAGCTGTGGCGGATGTGGTGTTTATATGAACTAACGATTCCTTTGCACTTGATGACTGTTTGATTACGAATTATAAATACAATACGTTTGTTCGTGCTCATATAGTTCTTCTTAGTTATTTCTGGGATTCTTAGTTTGTACTAATATTTTAACTACTCCTAATCATCACAAATGATTAAAGCTTTTCATTTGATATTAATATGAATAAGGAATGGTTTAATTATTACTTACTTACTTTAAGTTGCATCTAACGTATTGACGTTACTATTAAATGATTATTCACTAGTTTTAAAAATTTCAATAAATCAGTTTGTTGATACTCACTGGTTAGTCCATAAACGACCTTAACCTTGTGATTATTGGAGATACATTTAGCTGGATATTTTAAAGTGCTGAACTTAATTTTTATTGATACTAGGTGAAGAGGGTATATCTCAATAAATAATGTTGGTAATAAAATATTTACTAAAAATGGTATCTAATAGCAACGTGTTTGATAGTAGTTATAGATGGTTGTGTGTAGTTTAATAATGAAACTAGGATGCAATCCCTGTCCACTATTTCCTAGTTTCAAATGTTTTTTTTATAATTTGAATCCGATTTGCGGTGCAAAAGCTTTTTTGGGAATTACTTATGGAACGTTCTCGACTTTCTCTGTATAATTGCACATATGTAAATATAAATGGCCTTACTAGACAAAGAGTGTAATTAAAATACCAAGTCTTAAGTTAAACGAAAGACACCTGCAGTAGTCCTCGTATATTTCTATGCAATCTATTTTAATAAACAACTTTATCCATTAACTCAGTGATTTTATCATGGCCAGGAATTCTATGACCCTCCTGCGTGCCCGAGTTATCTGTGGTTTTGTTGACTATGTCCGTGTATATTTTTTGTGTGCTTGGTCCGTATGTTTTTTAGCAAGACCTTTTCTACAGCACTGGGTTGCCAACCCCACGCTCAACCCTCCTCCTTTACCCTAGCTTGTGACAGGCAGAGAAGACCAACTAGACTGTTCTGTAGCAGTTGAATGTTGAAGATAATATTAATAAACATAAGTGGTGAGGATTAGATATTTTTTAATCGACACAAAATTACAGGACTTGTTAATAAAATCTAACAATCATAAAGTAAATGCTTAATTTGCAAAATGTCCACCAATTGTCTCAAAATGACTCAAACTTCATTGTTCTTGTATTTTCATACAAATTGCATCCTGTTTCCATTCTTTACTGTTCGGTCCTCTTGTCTCTCTGCTGCCAGACCTTCTGTTCACGACTAACATCATATACTACTTATGTCAATATAAGTAGCACACACCACAGTATATAGTGTAGCATAGTATAGTATTGTTTTGTATTGTGTGTTGACAGACTTCAGTATTTCATAATATTTGAGTGCATAATAAAAGAAAACTCCGGTTTTAATATTAAAGTGAATGACACATTTGATTGTTGGGGCTTTCATGTCATACAGTATTGGAAATTATGATGAATAAATATAGAATGTCGGAAACTTCCATAGAAAACTGTGCAAACAGAACAAACGCGGGTGTTCGTGTGTAATATTATTGTGCCAACAAAACGATTTTCACTAGACTTCATACCATATTTTTTATTGCTTCATAGAAAAAGTCCAAGAAATTACACAACATTGTATAGTCTCTTTACGTAAGCACTTATTGTGTTCATAGATTGTGGAAAACTGCAGTCGGAATCGACAATACCAGAGTGTTCGTTGGAGCTGTTTACCCTACCCACTCTTATTTGGCTTCGTTATAAACATCTTTTCGGAGACGGCGCTCTCATTGTTTGTAATTTTAGAGACTAATGTTCCACCAGATGACTCACTTGTTGAATTGCAACACACAGATGAGATAACCTTATTCGACGAAGTCTTACAAAATCAGGGTCTCCCGATCAGTTCGAATAACACTGGTTAAATACTTAGGGCGCGTTTATCTCTCTAAATGCGTAATATTATTACAAGAATAATTTGCGTCAACACCAGAACTATAAATAGGGAGTGAAATGGCTGAATAAATTTACCACATGTAGCTTCTGCAAAAAATTATTATCAGTTTCGTCATGATTGGGCGCCTGGTTTCAATCAAAACACAATACTTTAGTGTGTTCATTGTCTGTGAGATGTCTCTGAGTCTGGCCAAGTCATACACCAGGCTAAGGCATTTGTAAGATGGGTGATGAATCACTGAACGCCGAACTGGATACTGGACATCATCAGGATCAAGAGTGACCAACGAAGATTATTCATTGGCACGTCATGGACTGAGGCATGGAGCATTGATCCAACTCTGTATTTCCACAATCTATTTTCATAATACACGATGTTGTCCCTGTTAGGCTACTTATTATAATATGTAACCAAGCGAGACGGTTGACATGTATACCGCGTTAGGATAAGCTTGGTTAAATTTCAACCACAAAGTGCGACTTCGAAGTAAACTAGGAGGAAACACCATACCCGACTAGACCAAGTAAACGGACCATCAATACAGGTTACCTACATTCACTATCTACATGTGCTTGTAGCAACCAAAGTTTTTGTAGGGCCAGCAAAATGTCATTGCGTTCTAACCGAATCATGCGGCAGTCAGGTCACTGAATATCAAACAGTTCACCTATCCTCATCAAGGTCAAATACAACCCATGTGCATCAGTTAATTGCATGTCATGAACTGGCCCATGCAGCAGTGGTCGCACTCCGCTCCTTGTAATACTCATATTAATATATTTCTGTAATACTGTCGTTTGTGTTGTACGTTTATGAAAGTAGACATGGTACCAGGATACAATGAAGGTGTAATCCACGTTAGGTGTTAACCGTGAGGTTAGCTGATTGGTCAAACTTGAGTAAGCCCCCAATCACTCAACATCGATAACCTGTAGCGTGGCGTCGAGTTGAGGTTAACTATGAACACCGCTACCAAGAAACACGTGCCAAGTTAATCAGAAGGCGAAGGTTGGACGTAACCAAATAAATCCAGAAAATCCCCGAGAAGCCAAATATCAGAAGACAGTTAATGGACCAAATCGAGATGTATTCGCTGGCGATCTCGTGGCATCGAAAGGATACCGAGATCGTGCCAGAATACAAGCTTGGTTACAGAACGTAACCGAATTCGCGCGAAGTTACAATCAAGGTGTAAGTAAAAGAATGGAAGCAAAATAAAGCTGTCATTAGCACAGTCAAACAAAAGCACATTAAAACAAGCACTGGTACAGTTGGTTATAATAATAATTGTTTTTATTAAACCAGTCGTGATAAATGTGAGTCACTACAGGAGCCCCCCGCTAGAAAGGGTTTACACTTTCGATAAGTAGCGGTTTAAATCGTGGGACTGATCGGCTGACGAGCGATTGTCGGACGGAAGAATTGGCGAACAGGAAAGCGATCTTTGATCGTCGAGTTGCCAACGAAGGTCGTTTTCGGAGAACGGTACCAGGAGCGATGTGCTGTATTTGTTGCTTGAGTTGGCATGCTACACCACAGTGGTTTGTATCCAGAATCTGAAGATTGCGTTCGTAGGGGTGCGCACCAGAAACGCTGCAGATGTAGGACGAAACCACGTTGAGCCAAAAGACCAGAAGCGACCGTAACGACCAAGTTCGAGACCAAGCGTATGCCAAGCATTCGAAACCAATATATCGACTGCGTACGTTGACAAGAGCGTGGGTGATCAGGCCAGCTTTCGCCAAAGTTGACTGAAGTCGACGGAACCAAACGGAGATGATCGAAGGCGTGGGCTCAGGAAACAAAAAGAAAAGCAAAAAAGAGAAGAGTGTAGCATGCGTGTAGCATAGGAATAGTCCTACACCGTATCGGTTGTTAACTGTGCGGCTAGTCGCGGAAGCGTACGGGCAACCATACTCGGCGACCGGAACGTGAGACGGTAGTCTCGTTCGCGTCGCGTGAGCCTGCAATCTCATCCGAGGTCAGAGGCGGCGTGGTCTGCTGATCTGGACGTGAGACTGTCGTCTCGTCCGTAGACGGTGCAGATGACGCGTGCTGTTGACCGGGACGTGAGAATGAAGTCTCAGATATATCTAGCGTGGGACCTGAAGAATATTTAAGGATCCCGCTAGGTTTAATAGGTCTAGCATTGAATCTCAGGGTATCAGATAGGGCACTGTCATCGACGTGTGATGGTTTGAGACGATCAATGCTGACAATCTCGACGCGGCCGTGTCGATCAACCTTGAAGGTCTTTTCGTGACGAGCGATCACGTGAAAAGAGCCTTCGTAAGGTTGTTGCAAAGGTTTGCGTACCGAATCTACTCGTACAAAATCATGTGAACAGGTAGATAACTCTCGAGGGAGAGCGACCTGTCGATGTTGTATTCGAGTTGACACCGGAGACAGCGTTCGCATAAA